GAGAGAGAGAGAGAGAGAGAGAGAGAGAGAGAGAGAGAGAGAGAGAGAGAGAGAGAGAGAGAGAGAGAGAGAGAATTCATCAACATCAACATCGCGAGGGAGGGGGGGGAAGAAGAATAAAGTCCTGAATAAATTGTCTCGATGGAAAGGGCTTACTATATTAAACATTGTCGGACAAATACTTGAGTGTAAGTGAGTTGTTATTAGCCGCCGCACTCTATACATTCACGCAGTAAAGAAGTCTAGCATTGTTGGGAAGTTTGGAGTCTTCATCGAAGAAATTATGAAGTTATAACGACGTAAGACTTTAGTAAAGATTAGCGTTGAGGCGAGAACGGGGAGGAAGGAGCCTGGGGCTGTCGGCTCATGTTTACAATTAGATAAATTATATCCATTTGAGCATATTTACGCGGTATATATCTAATAAAGTTCGCAAGAACGTTTAACGTTAAATTACGTCTGTAAGCAGGGGCAATTTTTCCCCCGTAATCGTTGAATTAGCCAAAGTACAAGGCGCGCGGTATTTTCCAAGTGCTACTTAAGCATAAAGATTATCATTGTGTCTTATCTTTATGTGCGACGATGTTGTCGATTCCTCGGTTTTACTGCGTTTAATAAAATATCCATCGTCAATGTAACGCCCGCGTTTGCGAGCACACAGTGCGCAATAATATAAATTTTACTTAACTCTCTTAAATTTTTATCTCTCTCTCTCTCTCTCTATCTCTTGTAATCACGAGCAAATACTGATTAAGCAAAAGACCAATTAAATATTGAAGTTTATTGCGAACTCATGTCTTCGCGGAGAACTGAAATGAACTGTCACGTGTCTGAAAAATATTAAGAATTTTATCCCCGTCTGTTAATGGAATAACAGGATTAATTAAGAGATCGATCGAATGCGCCTCATTGTCCATACCGATAATGATTTATTGAGTTAACGAAAAGTAATTTCGTACTAATAAATTATCTAAAGGACTTCATGTTAAAAAATGATACTGTATCAGATATCTGTTTACGATCTGTCTGTACGATTTTCCATATCTTATTTTCTCACTATAAACGTGATAACGTGGCAACTCGCTCAGACATTAGCCAGGAATGCGACGCTCGGAATCACGTTACACTTCCCACGTTCAGACGTGTGCGCGTCTTCACGATACAAAAACCAAACACAATTACTCGTGACATAAACGCGACTTTCGCAATTGCAGGGATGCTTCGTTTCGCGATTACCAATCGCGCGTTATAAATCATATCGTAACCCGCTTATCACCGCGTTCCATTTTTATATATCAGTTCCTGGCTGTATATTACTCCAAACAGAGAGAGAGAGAGAGAGAGAGAGAGAGAGAGGGGGGAGGGAGGGGTGCAATTTTCCACACGTTTACTAATCGGTACGTAATTTCATTTGCGGAAATGTTGGTGAGTTATACATGAACGATAATTTGTCAAACCTGGCATGCGATGTAATGCGAGAGATATTTGTAGAACGGCATTAAATGATGCAAAAAAAAAAAGAGAATTGCGCAATAAATCCGGAAACAATGTAACGTTTTATTTAACATATACAGACGGACAAATGAGCCCCGAATGAATCGATCGTAATTATTGTTACTGCTGAAGAATCCCCCAATTTCTCAAAGTGCACGCGACAAGCGACCGATCGAAACAATTTTATTTATAAACAATAAAAGGGAATTGCGTTTATGCGTGCTTCCAGAGAATAATGATATTTATGTTTGCGCTTGATTTCGTTTTATTGCTTTCTATATTATCGTTATTTACTTCCTTATTAACGTTTAATACCAAACGTATATACTTTTTCTACTCTAGTCAGCTTCAGCTGCTCTTATCATTACCAGGCTTGTTTTCTACTGCCGCACCGGCGAACTAGTGCCAGTAAGCCAGAATGAGAAAAATACACTTGTCTTACTCCAATTTATCGCGCTGGTTCACCAGTGTAGCGACAGAAAACAAGCCTATAAAATGATCGCCCGCGAGATGCACAGAATTGGATAGTAAACGCCTGGGTGATAAATCTGAAATTCTTCATCCTTTTTCTTTACTTTCGTATATTTATAGCAGAATCAGTTTCGCCCTGTACCCGACGGAAAGCCTTTTATACCAGCGGCAATAAGTGTCATCCGACTTGGAATTCGACGGTTGCCTCTGTGCGTTATCGCTGCGGCGTGTCACGCTGCATTATCACGTACCGACTCGGGCACACTTACAACACGCGTACGAACGTATCGATACCACCCCCCCCCCCCCCCGCGTAAACTGTGCGAGAGTGCGAGCTATCGGACAAAATCGGTCATTTTCCGACTTGCGGGTTTGTATGCGCGTTCGACGATAGCGGACGAGCGAATACGCTCGTTTCCCAGGAGGCGAAGTTCCGTCGATGGACAACTATCTGTCGCGCCGCGTGCTCGTATCGGCGATACCGTGTAATGGAACTCGTTACACACGTCGGTCCGCGTTTGTGCTCTTCTTAGCGCCATTTCGAAACCAACGCGGCGTCACGTGCTTCACGGGCTTGGAAAGACGATGTATCGGGCATACCGACGTAATAAGCTTTGAAACGCGCGCGATCTCTCTCTGTGTGTGTATGTGTGTGTGTGTGTGGGAGGTCCGCGAGTCAAGAGACCCCCGTAATCGTGCGAAATCACGTTATTGCAATTTCTCGAATTTATGGCCGGTCGCGTCACTACAATGTCACCCTCAGCGTATCCCTCTCCGACAAATAAGTACGCAGTCGTACATAATATAATTCTACGTACTGTTAGCCGCGGAAAGCGCGGTCCCATGAACGACGAGGTCAGTCTTTGTGATGTATTGCCGAGCCGAGCGGATCTCGTTAGCAGTAGAATCGAGTACATGGCGGTTCCACGGTATCTTCTTTCAAGTACGATCAATCCAGTCTGTCTTCCTCTCCCCTCTCTCTCTCTCTCTCTCTCTCTCTCTCTTTCTATTAATTCTTAAAAAGTTCCGGGACTGGACGTTGTCATTCGGGAAATCTGCGCCCGAGACGGGTGTTGCTCTAAAAGGCGCCGACCATCACTCTGGCCGCGTACGAGAAGGTCGTTCACCTGGTGCGGCGAATAACACGAGAGGAAAAAAAGAAGAAAAGACGTCAGCGTTCGACTGCGCGTCACAAATATCCGGGGAAAAGTGTCAATGTAACATCGAGCAGAGCGATCTGACTTGTTTGCCGATGGTGGCCGGGCCGGTAGAAAAGGCAGGGAAAACGAAGGGGGGGAAAAAATGGAATAGAAATCGCGCGCGTGAGATGAGAGAGGAGAGACGAGACCGATGTCGTACCTCGTTACCGAGGTAGAGCGGCCGCGGCGATGGTCAACGACACACTACTGCACTTCTGCACGAAATCGCTTCGAAAGACGTCGTTATCGCGGCCAGATTAGAGGCGAGTCGAGCGAACGGAACACGCCAGGGAGAAAGCTAGATGAGGGAAATCTCTCTCGTCGGGATTACCGATCCCGGGCGACGTCGCTTACGTCACGCCCCGACCTTAGGTACCGCCGTCTTTCCGAGCGTTTCCCAATCGCGGCCCCCAGGGTTACGCAAAGTCCGAGCCTCGCACCGACGAGAATCGCCTTCGTGCGGTCCGCCTCGTCGGCGAACTTCGACCCCGAAGATTGCGAATCGAGCAAACAGCGCTGCTGATAACGCGCTCATTCTTTTTCGACTTGGCGTCACGACGTACCCGAGCGAGCCGATCTATATCCGATAAAAGCCGATCGGACGTTGCACGGCGAAATAGCGTTTCGCGTAGGGTGACCAACTCTTAAACATTTAATTTCGGGACATCGGTTTCCGAAAATCGGGACAGAACCAAAAAAATCGGGACTTTTATTAGTATATCAGATTACCTTGTAATATGCATGTACATGTCCCTTCTTGTTTATTATTCATATATGATATATCTTGACATATTATTTTTTTAAATAGGTAAGTTGAATAAATTAGATACACGTAGATAAGGCAAATGTTTCTTCATTATTAAGTCAACATCGAACATTCAACAGAACATAGTCTTTTACTATTTTTCAAATATAAGTAATCATTAATCTAAATTAGACTAATAAAATTCTTAAAATAAAATGAAAGAACAATCATCAACGGAACATAAAAGCAGGAACATAAAATATAAAGGTTATAATGAATTTTAGTTAATAAATATTATATATGATGCATTATTATATTTTATATTATTTATCTTACATTATGTAAAAAATCGGGACAAATGGCGTCCCGCCTTAGGTTCTCTCGGGACAGCTCTAAAGAGAGTCGAAAATCGGGATGTCCCGAAAAATTCGGGACGGTTGGTCACCCTAGTTTCGCGCGTATGACGCACGTTATGCAATGTTCGCAAATTCAATGTTTACCTACACGTACGCTTCCTGCTCTATTTATTCCACACAAAGTATTAATTGGCGATAATAAGCGATAATAATATCGCTGATAATATCGCGACAAATGAAATATTGCGCTGATTCCATCACGTGGGGTCCGAAGCTATCTAAAGTGATACGCGTGCACACGCGTGTGCATTTTTACGTATACGCGCCAAGAGTGTTTGAGAAACATACCGCTGCTACTTGTGTTTCCCAAGATTCTTATCGAATTTATAATTGACCGCGTGTCATTACGTCACACGTATATAACGTGATTGATATTATACGTTACTTTGCACAACGCGTGCACTTGTGCAAGCGCAATTTATGAAAACCCCTTTCGATTGGCGACACGTAAGGTTCGAGCCGCGCTTCTCTCACGAACTGCGATGATTCTGACTAGAATGCATTCTACAAAAAAGAAAAACCAAGGCATGCGAGAGTCAAAGACGTCGACACGTTAATTTAGAAAAAAAAACTTCAGAAGATTACTTGACCATGTCTGGCAAATTTTTATGTCTATAACTCACGTGCTTGAACCACAAACCGTGGTCGAAACGTCGCGAGTTTATTATATATACTTATTTACTTCGAATCAGCTTACAGCCAAGAAGTGGACTTGGTTTACAATAGTACTTAACTCATTCACTCCTGCATACTTATTCTATTCCTCTGTCTTTCTTCCTTACGTATCGTGACTAGTGACTAGTTTATATTATTTACATTTCTTTTCCTCCTTTCTCCTGTACTCTCTCCTCTTTTTCTTTTTTGAAACTTCGCAGTCTGCATTCTCTTTCTATCCAAAGCTTCCTAATAGTGACCTTTTTTCCTTATCTAATTCGTCGCTCCATATCTTATCTCTTATTTCTTTATTGTTTTTCCCTAATTTCTTAAACCAGTGTGATGTCATACTGCATTCCTTTATATAATGTTCAAGACTATCCCATCCCGTATTACAAAAAACGCAAGTTCTTTCTTTTTCTTCTAGCCAGTATTTGTTGTATCTTTCTAGGTTACCGCATCTCAGATTCATTAGCGCTCTGACCTTATACGTCGCGAGTTTATTATAAACGTGAAAATTTGCCAGACATGGTCAAGTACTCTTCTGAAGTTTTTAATTACTTCTCGCGACTTATAAGATTTCCTCCAATCATTAAGATAGAATTTACAAAATAATTCGAATAGACATTTCGGTCCTCGCTTTGGACCTTCTTCAGTACGCGGTAACAATTAGCAAGATAACACGTGACGAACGATAATCAATGGGAATAAGCCCGTGGTTTGACGTCCGAAAGCGTTCCTTTGAAAAGAAATTATAATATTAGCAGATGTAAAATTCTGACTTACAAAATATATGTAGAGTGCGCGTAAAATGAAATTTTCGCTGTCAGCAAACCGGTGTAACGGTCTTGTACGCGGAATAGCGTCATATCGCACCGCCGTGTCCGAGAAAACGACCGAGTGACTGTTCGCTTTAATAATAAAAAGGTTTAGCTTAAGCCAAATTAACTCTGTACATTCCAAAAGTACACTGAGAATCGAAAACCAGCAATAGTCTCTGAATTTTTGCTCATTCTCGACTTTTAATCTTAATACGCAAATGCTTACTTAAAAAAAAGTAATGTCTGCTGAAAAATACAATACCATCTAACGACTAAAGTTGTAAGCGATATTGTATTAAAGAAAACATGATTACTGAACAATTTTATTATTGAGTGATGTGCAATTCCGTAACCATTACTGTTGACCACCAGCATTAAAATAATATGTAAATAATATGTAGCCTAACAGTAGGGTAGAATTTAATTAAACATATATAAATTATAGTTAGCTCAGCGCTAGCGTACTGGGCTAGTAATCCGAAATCTTAGGTTCGAATCCCACATGTAAAAAAATTAGAAAAAAACTAGTGAAAAAGTTTTTTTATTTTCAATAAAATCCTGTACCAAAACCATTACTGGTTTTCAGGGTTGGGAAGTAACGCGTTAAGCCAACGGCACACGATACTATTTTTCCTACTGGTTTGCTTACGAGGGCCAATCAGGATTCAGCCTTAAGTCATCTGATCTAAAACTCTGCATTCTGATTGGCTCTCGTAAGCAATCCAGTAGGAAAAATAGTATCGTGTGCCGTTGGCTT